CACTATTCCCTTGTCCTCTGTGAGGACACAGAGATGTCACATCTATGAAGAAGGGGACCTTCATCAGGTACTGAATATTCTGGCACCTTGATCATGAACTTCCCGACCTCTAGAACTGTGAGCGATACATTTATGTTATTCATAAATTACTTAGTGTAAGGTATTTTGCTGGACTACCTCTCAGGATACAAAAGTAATACACACTGCACCTGGACCAAGACAACCTATTTAATGATTTCTGTGTCCCTGTCGGAAGGAATGGAGTTGTTAAGGGTTATGAAGGGAGTCTGTTGTTGTGGCTCAGGCAATTGGTCTAGGTACCACCTCTCAGGACGCAAAAATAATGCACACTCTCAGGTAATGAGCACTCAGCAGGCAAAAATTATGCCATTAATTTGGCTCATCTGGCTCACGCCATCTTTCTTTATACACTCATTTTCTCAACAATGCTGAATGATGGAAGGGAATAAAGGATGGTCACACCATGCTTGCTGACCATTGGTCATTCATTCAGTAATTTATTCTGTAAATATTCATAGTGCATTTCCTACTTCCCTATGAACAGTATTCAGATACAGAAGTTCTGGTTATATGAAAACTCAGGAGACCTTTTCTGTATTCAACTTTGCAGCCTTAACCTGTAGTAGGGAGCCATCTTTACAACGGTGTTTTGGAAAACTAGAGATGAATTTCAGGGAGACAGCTGCTACCTAGAATGTCTTTAGGAGCTCCACTTTTGAAATTACCAAGACATCTCCTATTTTGGAAGTACCTTAAGATCCAATTTATAAGATAGAGAAAAATAGTTTTCATACTTTTAAATTATCTTTTCTTCTGTATATATTTTTATCAATAAATGATAGCACCATACACATGCACACATATATACATGTACATACAAATTCACCAGATACTACCAGCTATGAAAAAACCAAAATCATTCCATTTTTTAGATGCCTGCAAAGGACATTCCTGAGTCCAAGCTCTGAGTCCACTCTGCCTGTGTGTCGTCACAGCCAATGACACAATTTTTTTAAGTCTCAATTTGCTGTCTTTGAACTAGATATGATGACAATAAACCTTTTAGCATTTCCCTGAGGACTAGGGTTAATATACTTAAGCAGTCCAAAGATGCACCCACCAAAGACAAAGGTCAGTAAACGATTTGGCGGTTTCTAACTCCCTGAAGGCACTGGAGAATTTTTATAAACATTTGGGACACTTTTATCAGGCTGCAGAGTGAAAGTTCTCAGATGCTGGTAGCCGCATATTGGCAAAACACAGGAATGGGCGGAAGAGCAGAGTCCTTCCTTGTTCTCATAGCATACCTGGAAGGACCGTATAACTCAGAGTTACAACCAATGCCTCCCCTATACAGTGTGTAGTGGCAATCAGTACCTGTCCTTGAAGGCAGCAAGCTGAGCTGATAAAGATCTACAGGTCACAGACTGTCAAAAGGTCTGGACTCAGAGCTGAAGCATCCTAGGTTCCCAAGGGCAGGGGCTTACCACCATCACGAATTTTACAGCATTGGCCATTGAACCCAGTACCTCAGTATTTCACACATAATAAGTAAGCACTCTACCACTGAGCTATATCCCCCAGCCTCTCTTTTATTTTTGATAACATGGTCTCACTGTGTAGCCTTGGTTGTCTCAGAACTCACTATATAGGCCAGGATGGCCATGAACTCATAGAGAGCCGCCTGCCTCTGCCTCCTGAGTGCTGGGATTAAAGGTGTGCACCACTATGCCTGGTCCTAGCCCTCCTTTTTTATTTTAGGACAGAGTCTCACTAAGTTGCCCAAGCTGGCCTTGAACTCACTGTGTAGCACAAGTAGGCTTGAACTTGGGATCCTCCTGCCTCAGTCTCCTGAAGATCTGGCATTACAGGATTTTGCCAACAGGCCTGACTCACCATCACTTCTTAAACAGTCCCGGTTTCCATTTAGTCCATTTAGCACAGTAGACATGGCCACTGGAAGAAGGGCTCAGTCCCTTCCCATGTAGCCCTTTTCTTTGCCTGAGCTAACTGAGACTCTGCCAGACACAACCAGCAAACTGGCTCTGTTCCTTATTAGTCATGTGACCTTGGACAAGTCATTCAACCTTTCTTGGTGCACACCTTAGAAAGCCATAGCGTTACTGTGAGAATTTAATGAAATGGAAACACATGCATGTGGAGCTTCCTGCTGGGTGCCTGGCACGTGGAGTTGATTAGAATGGTCCTATGGAATGCCAAGGCCAGAAGGGGCTTAAAAGATCACCTAATCCTGGTGTCTCATTTCACAGAGAGAAAACAGTGCCCAAGGAGAGGAACAAACTTGCCCAAGGTCACATAGCAAAATCATGGTGATGCTGAGTCTAGCACCTTGAGTTTATTTTGAAATGAAAGGTCAAAACGTATCACTAGACCTGCTCTTCCAAGCTGCGTAAGCTGAGCAGTTACCAACCTTCCAAGCTTCCGGTGTCCTTCTGCTTCCTTAAGCCCAATTTAAACTTTCCTTCTCTACTTAGTGAGCATAATGTGGTATTTCCAGAGGAGGACAAAAAAATATAAAAATAACTTAAAACACCAAAATCAAAACTAAAATCCCAGGACTTAGCACAAAGGCAGCCCTTTAAGCCTTTTCCTCACCTTCCTCTCTCACTGCCCACCCCCAAACATTTTGCAATAACAGCAATGCTTTGAGGAAAGAGAAAATAAGAATCTGACGTGCTTAACAGATATTTTGGTACAATAATGCGTCACAGATGTTCCTATCAAACTGTGCATGCGTGCATACAATTTTACCGAGAAGGCTATTGCATTTCTGACTTTCGGTTGTGGATCCCTAGCAACCCCATCTGCCTAGGTTCTGGAATCCCACTCTTCCACATTAGGCCACAGCTGCCCAAGAGGATGAAGGAGAGGTTTCATCACTTCCCTCCAAAATGATATCAGGACAAATTGGTGCAGTCAGGCTCTCTGGCAGGTGGTGAAGGGTGTGCAGATTAGGGACCTGAGAGGACTCCTGTTTTCTTTTGCTGGAGACTTGCTTTCTACAGCCCTTTCAAGAAGCTGGACCCAAGAACAATTTGAAGAGCTGGCCCAGGCTGGTGGTGGGGTGGGAGTGTTTGTGCAACAGAAACTGGAGTCTGTTTGATCTTCAAACATGGGCTTTGGAGATTGTCAGCGGGCTCCTGACTGGCCGATGAAGGGCTCTCAGGAACTTTTCCTAAAACATAAGCTCACACACTTCGCAGCAAATGTTTTCAACCTACCAGAGCCGTCATTTGGTTGAATAGCAATGTTTCCAGACCCCTGAAGAAAGATAGTTTTGTTGTTTTAAGAGAGACAGATTAAAGCCAGGGGCTGTTTAAGCAGAGAGCTCTAGTGCTCCCTTCAGCCCTTGTCAGGGTCCTCTGTGGTTGGTACAAAAAGAGTGTTGAGAGTGATGGTAGTTCCTCCACCTCCCCAAACCCAAAAAAGATATCTACGGAGGCCAGCCGTGAGGGTTCTGACCAGAGAGGCCGCCCACAAAACTCCCTCCAAAATGAGATGGGCGGTGAACGCGGGGGGGCCCCTGCCACAGATAATATCAGCTCAAGAGGCTGTCAAGGGGAAAGTTACTTCAGAAGCAGAGTGCCGCTCTGTTCAGAGGACTAGGCACTGGGGCAGAGAATACACAGGATTTTCCCTGTGGAGAAGGAGGCAGGCTAGTCAGAACCCTGCAGGGCGTGACTAACTGCCCCAATATTCCTGCCACCAGGGCCCTCTGGGTAAGGACTCCACAATTATGGGAGAGCCAGCAGGAGAACTGACAAACCCGCCTTTCATTTGGCCGGCAAATCAATCTGGCTTCTTACCTCCCCAGGGACAATATTGCATTTCCCCTGGAAAAACAAAGGCCAGAGATCTCAGGAAGGGGGATCAGTTTCTGCAGTGGTTTCCCTGGTGAAGAGCTTGCAACATCTCTGGGGCAGCAAGCAGGTTTGAGTCCAGTGGTAGTTTGGGGCCTAGTCATTTTATGAATCTGTCTCCTTAATGATGAGCACACATATCTTGGGGCTACACTTCACTTGGGGCATCATCCCAGATCCTGAACTGGAGCCTCCTGGTAGAAGTCACTAGCCCAACCAGCCCAGACCGGGGAGCTCCTGTCCTGGGATTGACAGCCCTGTTCTTTAGGCACAGATGTTCACTCACTGTTCCCAGGGCCTGAGAGTTGAATTTGGGACCAGTGAGTTGCAAATGACCTCTGCCCATGTAGATAGGCTTTTAATGACATTTTGCTGGATCGGGTCTCCAGCAGCCAGAGACTTTAAACTTCTTAAACCCCTCCCTTCTCCCTTGCCCCTACTCCCTAGGTTCAGAAATCAGAACTGTCCACCTTAAGCAAACACATTTCTCTGAAATTATTAACCCCCAAACTCTCCTTGCTGACTGGAAATTCTCTGTCTTAGGAAGGCAGTCCCAGGGTTGCAGTGCTTAGCAAAGGCCCAGGGAATTGCACAGTGTCTAACCTGAAACTAAGCAGTGCTGGTAGAGGTCACATGGACACCACTGTTCCTGCCAGCACAGCCCAGGCACAAGTCCTCAATGCTGCCTCCACACAGACACACCCACAGGTTTGTGTCTAAACATAGCCTCAGGACAGCCTTGGGCTCTGGGGACACAAGGACCTGGAGAAGCCTGCTGCAAACAAGCAACTCACTCCCTCTTTCAGTTTCTATTACTCTGATGCTCCTGGGGAAATTCCTTCTGCTCAGGGAAGCACAGAAGGTGGAGAGTGGCTATCCCCAACAGGGAACCACTGAAATGGAAGAAAACACCAAACTCTGGCTTCTATTATTTTCCCCTGACCCCAACAAAGCAACCCAGTGCTGTTCCAGGGCCAGAAAGAAGTATTTGCTCTTTGGGGGAGGACCTGGCTCTCTCTGCCTGTCTGCTGTAACAACACAAAAATCAAAGACCCAGGTACCAGGGGCTGCTGACTGGGCTGGTATGTGGGTTCCTACCTGGGAGAAGTTGAGCCCATTGAGGGGGTGACACTGCTCCTCAACCCGCTCTACTGCCCCAGTGCTCTTCTTCATCTTCTCGGCCTGCTGGGCCAGGTAGAGGTCCAGAACAGGCACACCCCGGGAGCGCACATCTGTCTCTGTGAGTGAATTCACCATGAGCATCACCCAGACCGGCCTCTTCCGCTCCCAGTTGCCCGCAATGGCATTGAATAGGTAGTCAGCATACAGCCCCTTGCCACGCTGCGCTGGTGTCATCCACAAGGGCATCATCAGCTTCACGTAGTCAAGATGGCGCTTCAGGCGCCAGTAGAGCTCCCGTGGCAGCACGTCCTGCAAGTTCTCCCCGTGGGGCAGTAGCTGGCAGCTGGCCAGTGCGGAGATGGTATAGGGGTCTGTGAGGTCCAGCTCAAAGTAGACTCTGGTGCTGGCTTGAAAGGCTGCCTTGGAGTTGTCAGGGATGAAATCCCAGACACGGGTGTAGGGGACATGGATGGTGCCAAACAAGTAGGCTGGGGGATGGCGCCGAATAGTCCACAGGAAGGAGTTCAGGTCCCTCTGCTGCAAAGGGAGAGGGGAGGAGAGGCAGAGCAGTGAGGTCAAAGAAGGCAGAGGACAGCCAGGGTTGTCCCAGAGGAGTGCCAGGGGGAGATGGGGCCAGAAAGCAGAGACCCTCTGGCAAGAGCTTTGCAAGTTGAAAGCCCCACCTTCAAATTCTGTTTTTCTTCTATCTTAGTTGAATAATCTTAAGTCAATCACTTGACATCCCATACTCAGTTTCTTCATCTATAAAATGGGGGTGAGAATGGGAGTTGTTGATAGTATTTAAATATATATATATATATATATATATATATATATATATCTCCCTCAGAGCAGTGCTGGGCACAAAGGAAGTGGGCAATGAAAGGAGGCTCTCTTTATGACTAGTTTTCACTGTTAGCGCCAAGGACTGCCACACCACCTGAGAACATTCATTCTTGGCCAAGCCAAACCTTTACCAGTGATGTTTCACATGGAGGGTGGGGAGAGGGGGACCAAAAGTCCTGCTCTGGCAAGAAAGGAGGAAGTTATATAACTTTTAACTACAGCCATTGGAAGACACATGCCAAGGGCACTTTGAAAGCAGAACGCCTATTAAAAATAGCATACCTATTTCAACAGCTACTTCCTATTCATTGGGGGGATAGGGTTTTCTTCTTGGAGGGCAGGTCTGGGTATTAGCTACTTTGCTCCACTAGTGGAGACCATAGATGAGAAAGTGCTTTAAAACCTTGAAAAGCCAAATCAAGTCTCAATTTCTGGTTTGGGAAAAGAGGATTCCATAGGATTAATCCCAAGAAATGTACATGTTCTGTGTGCTTTCCAGCTTTCTTCACCAAAAATGTGTACCTGGTATCCATCCCCAATTCTGTCATTTTCTATGACATAAGTGACCACCAGGGATGAGAGAGAGAGAGAGAGAGAGAGAGAGAGAGAGAGAGAGAGAGAGAGAATGAACTGACTTTAGGAACACTGATTAGGACTCGAGTAAGGAATATTTCTCTCAGGCAAAGCCATTTTTCATCAGAAAAGTCCTTGCAGGACCCACTAGCCACTTACAAACTTTAGGTCAACTTGTAAGATTTTTTCTGTTTGATTTTGGCACAAATGAAAACTATACATGGGGCAGGGGGAGACAGCAGCTTACTTTACCAACAAACAAAAACTGTAAATCTGAATACACGATACAGGAGTAGCTGTCAGCTAATGAGATCCCTGTTTCTTCTGCACAGGTGGTTGCTAGGTGCACCTTATTAGAGGTCAGCCTGCTAATGGGGCATCACAGAAGACCCTGAAGCAGTGTTCTGGTCTCCTAGCCTCCAATTCAGGTTATTGCCAATGCATTAATTTATATTTGAAGAAAAAGCTACTGGGGGAAATCAAGGGTTCCTGATTTGGGAAGGAAAATTGGGAGAATCAGTAGTTATGCGATCCCCCTCCCCCAAGGAAATATTAGACCAGCATTTCTGTCCTTTCCCTTCCTTTCCTCCAGATTCTTCCTCCTTTGCAGGAAACAGGAGCATTCATTTGGGACCATAGGTGCTGGGTGGGGCCTGAGATGAAGAAGGAAAGAGAAATGAGACTCAGCACCAGGGAGAGTCTGCCTTAGGTCAGAGCGGGGGGCGGAGGGGGGACGGGGGGGGGACCGGACAAGAAAGCCTGGAAAGACTGTGTGAGAGTGAGAGAAAGGACTGGAAATCAGAGTACAGAGAGGGAATGTGGGACAGTAGAGTCAGAAGCAAGCAGAGAGACCAAAAGTCTGAAGACAGTCAAAGCAGTCCCGGAGAGAAGATCTAAGCAAGATCAAAAGTGGAGAGAGTGTCTGCGAGTGGAGACTGGGAGCGCCCGTTCTGGGTTGAACTGGGCTGGGCTCAGAGCAAGAACCCTGGAGCGCAGATGCTAGGGAAGGGCGCCCGGGCTGTGCCTGGAGGGCGGAGGTGGAGCGAGTGGGCTGAGGTGGGTGAGGAAGGCAAGACCCAAACCATCGCCCCCACGGGGCTAGAGTGCCCAGACGGGCGGGAGAGTGGCAGGGCAGGCGCTCGCTCACCGATCCAGGCGGCCGGCACTGTCCTCCATCTGGGGGTTGCGGGCGGGCGCGGGCGGTGGCGAGAAGGGCTGCGAGCAGCGGCCCCGCCAGGGCGGTGTGCATCCTGCCCCGGCCCGCGGGACGCGGAGAACCCTCTTGGGCAGCGCCCCTTCAGCAGGGCGGGGAGCCCCCAGTTGGGCACCGAGGATCTTCTGGAGCACCGGGCTCCAGGCGCGAGATGCCGGGAGCCCTCTGGGGCGTGGCTGGATGTCCCTGTCGGACCTGGGGGTCCCTCTGGGGCGGGGCTCTGTCTGTTGGAAGAGGGGGAATCCTCTGGGGCGGGGCCCCTCACCAGGGCGCGCAGCCCGGTTGGCCGAGCCCCTGGATTCTGTGAGGACGCAGGATTCTTGGGGCTTGTGAGGTCCGGGAGCCGCGTCAGGGTCCTGGGGTACGCTGGGCTCCAGGGGTAGCCCTGAGATCCCAATCTCAGGTTATGCTGGTTACCCAGGGCGCGCAAGAGTCCCAGGGGTGCGCGGCGCTCCAGGGGGCGCGCAGTGGTACAAGTGCGGCGGAGGGCGCGGCGGGCGGGGGTCGGCTCTGGGGTGCCCGGCTGCCCCCGAGCCGGGCTCAGAGGGGCGGCGGGCGGCCGCGCGGCC